AAAAAGAACTGCTAGACTAGTGAGACTATAAGCTGTCATTCTGATTTTAGGATCTTGGTATATGCTGTGTGAGGTTTGTTTCCTCCCTTAGCCTCTAGTTTCTAAATTTCCATTCAAAGCACTTTTTCTTGCCTTCGTATGGAAAGAGAAGCTGGGAGGCCTGATACTTTAGGGCTTTTCCTAAAGGTCAAGGGGGGCAGGTGGGAAAAGTATGATGTGCTCATCCTATTTTTCCCAATTTTCTCAGTCCCACAGACGACAACACAACAAAGATAAACCCTTCAAGTGCCACAATTGTCATCGGGCGTACACAGACGCAGCCTCACTAGAGGTGCACTTATCTACGCATACGGTGAAGCATGCCAAGGTGTACACCTGCACTATATGCAGTCGGGCATATACGTCGGTGAGTGCTTAGTTTCTTCTCCCTTCCCCAGCCTACTTTATCCTATCTTTCTATTTGAAGATAATATGGCAGCAAATTCTCTGCCTTCCTAGCTTCTACTACCAGTAAAGATTCAAAAATTAATTAGACCCATAGCTGAAGAATTTATGATCTCTAAGCCCATAAAGATTGATAAACATTGATTCTACATGTTACTTAAACATAAGGCAAAATATAGCCACTTCAGATTTTGAGGGGAGCAAGATTGTAGTAAGGTGTTGTCCAAGATGGGTGGCACCTGTAGGTCAGGCACCAGCCACATACACCAGAGCTGGCGGGTTTGGATCCAGCCCAGGCCTGCCAAACGATAACAACTACAACCAAAAAATAGCCAGGTATTGTGGAGGGCGCCTGTAATCCCAGCTACTTGGGAGGCTGAGGCAAGAGAATCGCTTAAGCCCAGGAGTTTGAGGTTGCTGTGAGCTGTGATGCCATACCTCTCTACCCAGGGCTAAAGCTTGAGGCTCTTTCTCAAAAAAAAAAAGAAAGACTCCAGAAGATTGTAAAGTTGTCCTATTCAAAGACATTTGAGATCCCATTGCTTGTTCACATGTCCACAGTGACTTTGTTTTTTT